TATGGTTAAAAATGTCATAGTTATATCAGAGCAGTGTTTATTTATTTATTTATTTTAATTGGTACACAAAACAGCTTAACACCATTTAGATATTCAAAAATAAATGAAGTAATATTAAGGATCTAGGTTATAAGCCAAAGTAAATGTACACAACATGATTATACAAATGTAAAGAAAAGTGAAAAGAGCAGATTAAACACTTAAAAATTAATTATGTATACTTAAATTTAAACTGTTACAATTATGGGGGTTAATAAAAAACACGAAAATGAAGGGATGACTAAACTAGACATTGTTACTGCAGTATTTTTGAGACAGAATTTCTGAAGACCGCATACTTAGGATTGAAGATGTCTAGATCGTTCGATGTACTATTATATAGGCGTCTCATTCTAACAATAGGGTTGTAATAGGAAGTGTTGTTTTTATAAGTACAAAGTGGAAATGGTTTTTGAGACCGAGTTACGTGCCTCGTGTTTATGTCGACTTCGGCTAGAAGAGTAGGTGTATCAGCAGACGAATGAATAATTTTATGAAGCCATAATAAGTCTTGGCGCCTTCGACGAATTTCTAAGGTAGTTACGTTATATTTTTTACATCTCGCAGCGTAAGAACCTAAAGAACGTCCATGTCCCATTCTATAGCTTAATATTTTAAGAAATTGTTTTTGGACAGCTTCTAATCTAGTAGAATGTATAATATATGATGGCGACCAAATGACAGATCCATACTCGAGGACTGTTCTAACTAAAGTGTTATATAAACTTAGATAACTTTGATATTTACAAAAGCCTTTTGTTGATCTTGAGATGAAACCAATTAGCTGATATGCTTTCTTAGAGATGTGTTCAACATGTTGACGAAATGTCAGTTTGTCATCGAAAATAACCCCGAGATCTCGGATTACATTCTTGCGTTCTAGTGGATGACCATCAAGTTTATATGGAAATTTAGATTTTGTTCTTTTGTTACTAAAAGATATTATGAAGCACTTTTTTATGTTTAGCACCATTTTGTTATTTTGACACCACTGTAAAATACGATTTAAATCATCCTGTAGTAGTTTAGAATCTTGGTTATCTTGTATAAGGTTAAAAATTTTAAGATCATCAGCGTAAAGTAGATAACGACAGCGTAACTGACTGACAAGGTCGTTGATGAATATGTTAAAAAACAGAGGGCCAAGATGAGAACCTTGCGGAACACCAGACGCTATTGTTACCGAGGTCGACTTTGAATTTCTTATAAACACTACCTGACTTCTTCTTGTTAGATAAGATTCTACCCATCGCAACAAGGCACCATGTATGCCATAATATTTATTGAGCTTTGCGCACAGCAGGTCGTGAGGGACTTTGTCAAAGGCCTTAGAAAAGTCCGTGTATATGGAGTCAACTTGTCCTCCTTTAGCAAAAGCGCTACATAAAAAGTTCTTGTATTCTAAGAGATTTGTTATCGTCGACTTATTTTTAACAAAACCGTGTTGTGAAGGTGACAATGTAGACTTAAAGTGAAAATAAAAATAACAGTAGATTGTAGACTCAAAAACTTTCGCGAGACTATTTAGAATACTAATTGGCCGATAATTTTCACATAGGTTTTTATTACCTGATTTGTAGATTGGGACCACGTGTGCAGTTTTCCAAATAGTGGGGAACACTCCTTGCGACAACGATTTGTTAAATATTAGAGATAATGGTAAACTCAACTCGCCTGAGCAAGCTTTTAGAAATTTCGGTGGTATTCCGTCGGGTCCTGCGCCTTTACTGCCGTCTAACAATTTTAGCTTAGCTTCTACGTCCTTGGTACCGACGCTAATGTTAGCAAGATTACAAAATGAATTGAACTGCTCCGATTCAAAATCAGAGGCATTATGATTGTTGTTGAATACGGAGCTGAAGTACTTTGAGAATAATTCACATATATAATTATCATTAGATGCTGATTGCGACCCGTAGAACATTATCTGGGGTAGGGCGAAAGGTTTGCGGGTGTTTGCATACTTCCAAAAGAACTTGGGATTTGTTTGTAGACTTTTTTCGGTTGATGAGAGGAAGGACTTGCGGCAAGATTTAATTAATGCCTTGCTTCGCAACCGTAACATTGCGAACGTGTCGTAATCTCTAGGGTTTCCGTACTTTTTAAATCGTTTGTGGAATTTATTTTTCTCTGTCAGACATTTGATCAATGAAGTACTGAACCATATAGGATAAGAATTCTTTCTGTTTTTGACTAAAGGAGTGTGTTTCATGATGATGTCGTTAAGTATTGTGTAAAATGAGTTAACGTTCGTATCTACATCGTCTTCCTGCGTTAACACCGAGTGCCAATCAGTATTGCCAAGATCAGCTTTAATTTGTGGATAATCGCAATTATTATAATTGTATCGTGGGCTATTGTTATGGTGCCGTTGCTTACTTTTGAGAACTTTAAATTCTATCTCAAGTGCGGGGTGATGTCTATCAAGATTTAAAAGCGGGAAAGCGTTGCTAACGAAAACATTTAGAGAACTGGACAGAACGAGGTCTAAAAGCCTGTCATTCTGATTTCTGACACTATTATATTGTTTTAGACTACCTAGAGACATGGTTTCAAGAAGGGAATCGGCGTTATACTTTGATTTGCTGGATATTGCGACGGCAAGATTTTCAGGATTCAAGTAACTAGCAGTAGGGCAGGAGGACCACTCCATCTCCGGGATGTTGAAATCACCCAGAATCATTACTTCATGATTTGAGTTTAAATTCAAAAGAACCTTATTTAAGTTATTATAATAATGTTTCACCTCCTCGTTAGTTAAATACCCTGGTAAGTAGCAGACAGAGATGTGAATTATGGGATTATTAGAACTCGTAGGGGAAATACTAATCCAGACATCTTCAATATTGCTTTCCCACATAGGTTGTCTGACAGCTATAAAGTGTTTTTTTACAGCGACAAGGACTCCACCTCCTTCGGTCTTTTTATTAATAGTTGAGATTCTATCCCTACGATAAATATTATAACGACTGTCCAGGATTTCGGAGTCGAAGACTCCGCTATTAAGATTTGTTTCAGTTAGGCAAATAACGTCGTAATTACAATTTAATGAATTCAAGTACAATTTATCTAATTTCGAACGAATACGATTAACATTTTGATAATATATTAACATTATAAGTAAGTGCGTGGAGATATAGCTATAGCTTAAAATATAAATGAGAAAAGAAAAAAAGAGAGTAAGCGCAATGATAGTAAATACTACTGTAGTTTGCTTAGGCTATTGCTATTCTTAATTAAGAGTGCTGGAGAGGTATCATCCTTCCTGACGTAGATATTGCCATATTTAATCCAAACATATTTGTAACTTTTTTCTTTAGCAGCCTTTCTGGTTTCAGCGTGAAGACCTTTTAGGTAAGGCGGCAAATGTTCCGTGATGTAGACAGCTTGCTTATTGCCAGGTATACCCAAATCAGTGGTGTTGAGAGGATCGTTTTTATTGCTTTTGTTGTATTTTTAAATGCAGATATTATGATGTCACGCTGTCTTTCTGTTGCTAGCGTTACTAGTATATTGCGGGGTCGAGTGGACTGCGGGTTGAGTTTAGCCACGCGACGTACACAACGAATGTTTGCTTCTTCGATAGGGGCTTGAATGACAGAGAAAAGTTGCTTAACAGTCGAGAGGATGTTCTCATTTCGTCTGTCCGGAACTAATTGAATTTCAACATTAAGACTACGCGAAGATTTTTCCAATGCATCTAACCTTCTTTGAACATCAGTGAGTTCAGTCTCAAGGCTAGTCTTTTGTTTTTGTAGTTCGAGGATTGTTTTACTCGATACATCTAGCTTTGCCTTTAAATCTGTTTGTTGCAGCGCAAGAAAGTCCGTTGTTCGTGTAAAATCATCCTTAAGGTTTTCGATTTGTTTTTTCATGAGAGAAGTAAAACTATCCATTAAAGTTGATTTCATCGTTTCGAGTTTTACGTCCAGTAGGCTGCTTATCTGCTGCAATGTAACCGCATTTCCCGGCGGAGATGTATCGGAGCAAGAGAGCGAAGTGTTCTGCGGCTGTTGTGCATGTTCTTCCCTGCTCGGATCATCGCTCGGTGGAGTCGAGGCAGGCGGGGAGATGCACGACATCCGCGCACTGGCTTGAGTCTTGTCGCCCTTGCGCCTAGTTATGTTGTCGCACAAGGGACATTTCCATGACCTTTTTAGTTCGCGAGCGTTTTTGTTGTAAAAAGATGTTGTTAAATCAACACAATGGTAGTGAAAACCCTTTTTACAGTTTGAGCAGACGACCACTTCATCTTTTTTTACGGAGTGGGTACATCGGTCACAAATCATTATCGCAATAGCACAGGTGCCACAGAGTAGAATAAATCGAATGCTAAGTTCTATACAAAATTGCAGTACGACAATGATGAGATTTACGTACTGTTCTATAAAGTGCAATAACTCTGTACTATGACATTTAAGCAATACTGAGACACTGCCTAATATTAATTGTTAGTCGACTGATAATTGGTGAAAAAAGGCACTCAACACTAAAAAAAATGTCACAACCACAATAAGTTAAACTAAGTTGATTGTATCGTAATTATGTAAATTAATTTTCTGCACTTTATCTCTTTTTAAACAAAATATAAACCGGAGCGCAGTGTTCGTGCGACCGCGCGC